AGGGAAAATAAATCAGATGCAATGATTTTGTGAAAAAGCTGAAAGCCAAGTAAGAAAATTTTAAGGCAGTATAAATGCACCACTGTCCCTAAACCAGCAAGACAATGCAAGACTGTGCATTTTTGCTTGTCGTGCTTGGCACTGTGAAGTATTACATTTGTCCCACATTACTGCGATGTTACTGTTTTCCTTGTTGAAAGAGAGCTATAACGTTAAGATGATAGTATAAGTGACAGCGTATCGCTATAAAGCTGTAATCAGAATGGTGATTCACCAGATTTCTTGAACAATAATTGGTAACTGATGCTAATGAAGGCACATGTTACCTTAGATAGTATTAGCTGTATCTGTGCTCATCTGTTCATAACCCCCTCCAAAACACATACCACTATGGTGTGGCCAGCATCTCCCTTTATCATTTCCACATTAGCTAGCATAAAATTTTCCTGCACTTCTTAAATATGCATGGCCATGCATATTTTAACGCTTTATATTATTAATGTGAGTATTAATGTATTTGGGTAAGAGACTTAGAATGTTAAGTTAAACGCAGCTTTCTTTTCATATTCAGTAATTTGTATTTACATATTTTAAAAAGAAAAGTTGGCCTAGAAGCATCTTCTGATCTTGAAGCAAGAGTAGAGACTTCAAAAGAAAAATGCTCCTAAAAGGAAATCCACACTTATCTATTTTTAATATCAGGTTGAACTACTTTCAGGATTTAGAGAATAAAGTCTGTAAGGGTGGGGTTTGGGGGCTGAGCTAAGCTGGTTTTAGGGCTGGCTGAAGGTAAGGGGGCTGGTACCCCCTGTACCTCCCTGCTGCCGGGGGTTTCTGCTCCGCCTGTTGCGCTGGCTTGGGCAGTTCTGTGGTCCCTCAGTGAAACCATTTGGCCTACTAAAGTGGCAAAAAACAACCCAGAAAAAATGGGATCTGGGCAGGATTGTGTACCCAGGAGCAGCAAGTGGCAAAGCAGTGAAGGAACATACGGGAGCCGGTACCAACTCGCCACCTGTGAAACTTCGCTCAGAGCTGGTCCCCATGTGATTTTTCTTGTTTCTCCCCAAGCGATGCTCCTTTATTTGCTTGAAGGTGGTTCTTTTACTTGGTTGTTGCAAAACACTTGGCTTCCTAATGGAAACACATCAAAGTGATGAAATAAAATACATTATTGAATATATATGATGTAAAGGAGGTAAATAAAATGTAATTGTGGCCTTCAGTACTGCCTGTTCATAAAAATAGTGGAGCATGGACAGTACAAAAGAAAAACTCATTAACTTAAACAAACACTGCTTTCAAATGGCAAATATCTGTGTCAGTGGCGTAACTAGGAACCAAGGTAGGTGTCTGCAGTCCTTCCTATGGGCATATCTATATAGCAAGGCAAAGATCTGAAAGCTGTTGTGAAGCATCTATTTGTGCTTCAGTGCCATTAAGAAGGGCAAGTAATAGCTAGCAGCGAGGGTTAGGCAGCTCAGGTGAGAGCTATGGAAAGCCTTTGTACACTTTCCACTTCACGGCTGTTGTTGCTCATGTTATCTACATACACAGTTTGTACGGATACATGCACTATAGTTTACTGTAAACTCCTGTTCCGTCAGGTTCAAGAAATACATTTACTGGTGTTTATACTTCACAGACAGAAGCATATTTGCAGGTACTGTGGCGAGGCAGCTCTCTTCTGTGTGTGACAGCTGAAACCACGTTTTTTTGGAGGCAGGTGAAATGCATGGACTGGATTCCTCCCCCCCGCCCCAAATCTGTTATCTGGACCCTGATTTTGCACAATTTTGGAACTGCCTACTTTCTGCTTGACTAGGGATGTTAACACTAATTAAATTATACATGGCTATTTCTGACCAGGTCAAAAACATAATCTTGCCTTATTTGAAGTAATTCTTATGGATTATCATAAATACTGTTTATTTTTTACAAGAAATGATTTCAGACTTGGTTGTGCAGTTACCATGCTGTTTTCTGTATAGAATAAAAATGTGTTTCATATTTCCAATTTTTTATACTTTTGTTTGTTCTTTCAAAAAAAAAAAAAAAAGGTGATGAATGTGAATCACCATGTAATTAAACATCCCTTGCAGTGGAAATAAAAAAAACCCCAAAACTTAAAGATGTAGTGGTTCATGTCAGAGGGAAACTGTTCCTCTAAATTCCTGAAAACATATTTTCATGTGGTAATAGGATTTATATTGTTAGGCTTCCCCCCCCTTATTAGAAGCCCAAAAGGGACAGTATCTTAACTATAACTTCCCTGTAAAGTATCTCCTTATGCTAGAGTGAAAACTGTTTTCAGGAACATCTTGTAATGGTGGGATTTCCAGCAGCTAAACAACGAGAACGATGGATGT